GGGGGGGAGGGTAGTGTGGAAAAGAGGAGGAGAGGGAGGGGAGGTCACTATACCATGATGCAACTCTGTCATCGCAAAACATCCTGGTAGGTCAAGAGCGTCAATGTCTGCCAAATACTTGTCGCGGTGCTTTTTCGTTCCCAAATTCGCCACACTGCCTCCCCACAAACTGCACATCACAAGTGCTATCAGTCAGAAGGTCAGATCGAACCAACACCAGGGAGAGGCATCACATGCCTGCAGAAGAAGCAAGGCAGGCACACTATAACAGAGCCCAAGTCAAAACTAGTGTTGACTGGTCTGCAATTTAGTTTTTTCACCACCGACTTGTCTTAAACCGACCTTCACTTCCCTACACAGTTTCTAAATCACTTCTACACTAGGCTACCAGAGTGGCCCGGGTCCACTTGCCCGGCCGGGCCAAACAGAAATAAAAAAAATAAAGATTAAATTTCATTAAAAATATATATTTTTCGATTTAAATTATTATTTTAAATTTGGTAAAGAATTTCGATGTGACGCTGAGGCAAAAGTTGTTCAGTTTATTTTTCTGCATAACATAGTTTGTTTTTCGAATTTTTTGGATTTTTTTTTTTTTTTTGGCTGGGACCTTCCCTAGTCCTTGCACGGTCGGGCCGCCCAGGAAAATGGGGTGACCCGGGCGGCCCTGCTGGTAGCCTAGCTTCTACATTGTTTCTAGACTGACTCACTGCCTTCTTCTTCTTCTTCTTCTTCTTCTTCGTCTTCTTCTTCGTCATCATCTTCGTTGTCGTCGTCTTCGTCTTCTTCTTCTTCGTCTTCTTCGTCTTTGTCTTCTTCTTCTTCTTCTTCTTCTTCTTCTTCTTCGTCGTCGTCGTCGTCGTCGTCGTCGTCGTCTGCGTCTTCTTCGTTGTCTTCTTCTTCGTCATCATCGTGTTCATCTTCTTCGTCTTCGTCTTAGTCTCCTTGTTGTTGTTGTTGTTGTTGTTGTTGTTGTTGTTGTTGTTGCTGTTGTTGTTGAAGGGTAAAAAACAAAAAGAAAAAAGATCTGACTGACTGTGGGTCTGTTGCTTATCCACACATGTGGTCTTTGCATGAAGGTTGTTTTAGAGACTGTGCCATTTACCAGCCAATTACCAGGTACAGCAGTGTTTCACGGGTTTTCATGCCCTCACACAAGCAATCCCTTAGCTCCTCCAGGTAGCTAGACAGCAATGACCAGGTTCAGCCAATCACTATGTACAGTCAATGACCAGGTGCAGCCAGCGACCAGGTACAGCCAAGACCAGGTGCAGAAGTCGTTCTCATAGGTATGGTACTTATGACAGGGGGGTGGCATAGGTGTTCCACGTGACTGAACTCCCGCGCAAGTCTTGTGCTTGACAGGTGTCCAACAGGTGGTGTGGTACTTTTTTTCTTCTTCTTTTTTCTTTTTTCTTTCAATAGCCTGGTGTGGTACTTGGCAGAAGTCCCAAGCCGAATAATGATGTGGTACCTGACTAAGGACTGCCATAGGTGGTGTGGTACCAGATTTGTGGGACCGTCGTGTGGGACAAGAGCCCTACAAGTGAGACAAAAGACAAGTACTACTTGTGGGATCGTCTTGTGGGAAAATAGACAGTTCCATAGGTGGACAAAAGACAAGTACCACACTTGTGGGACTGTCCTGTGTGAAAAACGACAGTCCCACAAGTGGGACGAAAGACCAGTACCACACTTGTGGGACTTTCTTGTGGGATAAAAGACAAGTACTGTCGTGTGGGAAAAGAGACAGTTCCATAATTGGACAAAGACAAGTAGTAAAACACTCGTGTGAAAGGACTGTCCTGTGTGAAAAAAGACAGTCCCACAAGTGGGACAGGAAGACCAGTACCACACTTGTGGGACTTCCTTGTTGTGGGATAAAAGACAAGTACTACACACACTTGTGGGACAAAAGACGAGATCTTGAACGCACCCTCATCTGCAATGACTTGCAGTAGCAGCARAMAAAAATTCCMCGGAWAMAAAAAAAAAAAAAAAAAAAAAAAAAAAAAATCCACGGACAAAGTCAAAGCAGACGTTGCAACCCTAAAGCTGAAAAATTAACTCCCAATAAAATCGTCTAAATACTACCCTGCCTGGTGGGCTGCTACCTTCTTCCCCCGAACACAATGCACCCTCATTTTCACTGTATCGGGCCGCAAACATACCTTGTTCATTTTCAGGGTGCGTTATCTTCGGGGGAAGACGGTAGGCCGCACTTCACACTTTCATATCAATTACTTACTAAAGATGATTCTACCGGCATTACTTCCTAGACCCCCCATGCATTGCCGCTCTTGGCGGTCCACCCATCATTAAGGAAGAAATAAAAAAAAAAAAAAAAAAAAAAAAAAAAAAATCCACCGTAGACATGCCTACTATCCTTGGTATTACCGGCAAATCCCCCGGCCACCTCCAGCTCTCCCGCCGCTGTTCATGGCGCTGCTACCAGTAGGACTACATTCAACTCACGCTCATGCTGGTAGTGACGTGTCAACAGCACTCCCACCACCGCCCTCGCAAGCTCGCCCACTGCTTTTTTTTTTTTTTTTTTTTTTTTTTTTTACTTCGTATGTGGGAAAACCCAGTTAACGGGGTGATAAGAGCGGCCTCGTTAAGTGGGCCCCAGCATCGAAGGCTCCGTCTATTGGTGGGGGAGCTGCACCTGCTGGAAATCGGGTCCAGCGTCCCTGTACAATGAATGATATGATGAGTGTCCCACTGCTTCCGCTGCCCGCCCTGAGATGTTTCCTCTGCGACTGCTTCTGCTGCCCGCTGCTGACGTCTTTCATTGATGTGAATACGCCCTGAGATGTTTCCTCTGCGGGCTTCTCGTCTTGAAGTGCCAGCATTTTAGTCGAAATATATAATGGTGTCTTATAGGGCGGCACCCTCTCCAAAGGTATGCAACAAGGAATAATTACTTTATTGCACAAAAAAGGCAATAAACTAGATATAAGAAACTGGCGTCCAATTTCCCTACTAAATGTCTCCTACAAAATCCTAGCTGAAGCCTTAGCATTACGCCTTGCCCACTATCTTCCAGCCCTTGTAGGATCGGATCAAGGCGCTTTTGTTAAACACAGATCTATAATGGACAACATTGCGGATACTATCCAAGCCCTGGAAGTCAATGCACGAGAGGAGAGGGATGTAGCAATTCTCCTCATTGATATGGAGAAAGCCTACGATAAGGTAGGCTGGGCGTTTGTAGGAACAACTCTAACTCATATGGGCTTTGGTCCGAACTTTTTCAGGTGGGTATCACTCATGTACTCTACCTCAACTGCAATGGTGTCAGTAAATAACCAACTGTCCGAAGAGTTTAAACTTTCTCGATCACTGTGCCAGGACTGTCCGCTGGCCCCCCTACTTTTCGTGTTGCATCTTGAAATACTATTGGATAACATCAGAAAACATAACTCGATTACAGGTTTGGAACTGCACAACGAATACTAATGGAAAGGAGTGGCTCTTGCCGATGATCTAACCATATCATGCCTAAATGAAAGGGAATCGTTGTATGCTGTGCGCAAGGTGCTAGATTATTATACTATATTATTGAAGGCCTCTATAAATCTGAATAAGTCGGTATACTTTTTGCCTGCACAATTTCAATTACAAGCAAACTGGGGTACGAGACGCATAGAGACAGATGCCTCAGACAGGTATCTTGGAGTCCAAGTGTCCTTATCCGACAACTCAGAGCTGCAAGATCAACTGTTGGAAGAGAAGGTATGCCAGAGAATCATGAAACGGGACTATACGAGATAGCTTTCCTTACTGGGTCGGGCCACTGCTATTTCGGCGTCAGCCTTCTCACTGCTATGGTACCCTCTGCAACTGCATGTACTAGGAAACCAAGCATATAAGAAGATCAGAAGGGCAGTGTCCAGATTTCTGTGGAAACCAGAAGCAAAAGAGGGAGAAGGTTTCCTCTCCAAAGTAGCTTGGGAGAGCATTACGTTCCCAAGGGAATCGGGAGGATTTGGTATTCCGGACCCAAACGTCAAAATACTGCTTTGTTAGTCAAATGGCCTATTAAAGCAGTATTAGCTGAAAGCAAACATGCTTGGATTTGGTTAGCAGATACATTCTCTCTAAAGAATGGAGCCTGAGGAACCCATCAGATGCATGGAGTTGTATTTTCCTACAGTCCTACTGCTGCAAAAGGCCAAAATCCCGCTTTTGGAAAAAAAAATTGTATGCATGGTCTAAGATCCTACCTACTCACCGAGTCTCTCCCAATTCATGGGAGGAAGTGTTAATGCAACCACTTTTCGAAACCCCCCCGCTGTGTGGTCCAGATTGGTCTCCTTTCTCAGCTCGTGGTGCCCCCAGAAACTTCGGGAAAGCTTGGATAGAAAGAGGAGTGATTAGAATGGGAGACCTATGGGATAAAGAGTTATAGAATTGGTGTACGGAAGACTCTATGAGAACTCAACTTCGATGGTTGAGATTAGTGGAGGAGCATTTGGCAGACATTCAAAACTTTGTACCCCCGGACTGGATACATACACTACTTACGCAAGGTAGTACGTATACTTGGCTGAAAATCCCAATGAACAACGACTTACCTACTTATTGGAAAGTTGTTGACCAGCACGGGGACAATGGGTTCAAGGTAGAAATTTGGACAGCTTCTACCAAAACTCCCTACATCCCGGTCTGCTCGTTGTTTGCGGATGACTTGACCCTTATGATGGACGCCACCATAGCAAACATGGAAGAGATCATGAGATTATTCGACCAATTTACAGCGATCTCAGACATGACTGTCAACTGGGGAAACAAAACCCTGGGATGGTGGATTCACCATCAAGGGGTGCGCCCGCCGGAACTTCCTAGGGTCAAATGGCTCCCGGACACGGCCCCGGTCAAAGTGCTTGGAATCAGACTGACGGCAATGGGCAAACCAGCCTCACACGATGAATGGATCCTCCAACCGGCCTTAGAAAAATTGGCCACTTGGAACGACCGGCACACCTCCCTGATGGGTAGAGCACTAGCGATCAACAGTGTAGTCCTCGCAGCCCTGTGGTACAAATCTGCAATCTGGACCCTTAGCAAAGGGGCTCTTCGATCACTTAAGAGACAACTAGTGGCCCTGCTGTGGAGAGGTAATGGAGAGCTCTCGAACGTCATTAGTAGGGTGGCCTGGTTATC